TGGGAGGTCGGCGCCGGTCATTCATGAAGGAGTTATAGCGCCAGAGAAGACCTACAAAATACTCACGGATCGTGTCGATGCAAGCTGTCGGCTTTCAGAGAGAAGCGGATGTTGCCGGGGAGCTCGTCAAACCTAAATGCGACGCATAAACTGCAGGGGATTCCCCTACAAGAGCTTGAAAGCTGGTAACCTTATATCAGCCTCCGGCAGCTGACGGAGCGACGAAAATCGGTATGGGTAAATGTTTTTGGAGATACAGCAAAAGGTTTGGTTTCCAACCTTCCGAATCAGTTGTCAAAGCATGCATATTTGTCTAGTGTACACACAAACACCAAAACGTTAGACTTTTGGCCGGTTCTTAAATGCTTTATTGGCATGGGAAATGTGTCAACGAACTTTTGAGACACCCTGTATATTCAGAAGACCTGTGGTCAGACTGTGCAACAAACATCAATGCAATGTCCGTAGCCAAACAGCAATGCGCTGACAAATCTATAATGAAATCGCTGATGGTAAAGTGCAAATCAGCCGATTTTTGTCCGATTTGACGTGGAATGCCCCAACTATGCTTACCCCCCCCCCCCCTCCCAAGTCCCAACCCAGAACTTCTCCGGTTGTTTTTCAATAGAAAAACACAATTATAACGAATAGTGTTTGTCTATTTCAAACGACCTGCGGTTATGGCGCAGTCGTTCAGCGGTTCGCAGCTCGGTCAAATGTCTGTGATGTTGGAGTGACTCACGCGTCTTACCTGCATTCAACATCCCAGTCATCATACGTCATCAGTCGTCAGTGATGGAAACTAGTGGCGCACATAGCACCCCTGTTTGGCGGCCCGTATTCCAGCTCAGTGTCTGGACGCAGCATGTAGGAGCCGTGTCCCCCTCAGCCGGGCCGCGCTGTACGGCCGACCACTCGGAGCGCTGCCCGCTGTACGGCCGACCACTGAGGAGCGCTGCCCGCTGTACGGCCGACCACTCGGAGCGCTGCCCGCGGGCCGCGGCGGAGCGGTGGCTCGTGCCACACCATCAGACTGGACTGACGGTGGCGGCGCCGTCCATCTTCGGTTTCCCACGTCGTGAATAATTAATAAGATCTCTATGGGTTGCGGTGGCTGTTCGAGCAGCTGCGGGCGCCGTCCCCAGCCCACTGGCGCCGCTCCCAGCCCACTGCACAGTGGGGATATTTCCGATCTAGCACGTCTTTTCTTGACGCTCTTTCGAACGCCGCCTTTCCGCGTATCGCTCCGTGGCCAAGGAGCTGAGTTAGAAAGGGCCCAGCAGGGCGTGGAAATCCAAGACCCCCAGCCGGGCGCGAGTTAAGTTTTACTTAACCTTCCAGGCGGTGGGGGCATTTTCCCCCCTTTAGTTTTTTTGGATATATCTCCAGATCCGCTGCGCCGATCGTCACCAAACTTTCAGTACCCTCCCGTCAATAGCTATTGCACATTATGAACAAAACTTTTTTCCAAAGGCTATGATAGGTTGGCCGCTAATGACGTCGGAGTGACGTCATTTCTGCCATTTTCGACCCAAAAAAGGTTTCGCGGGAAGAGCTATCAGGCCTACAGCTTTAGAGATACAGAAAAATGTTTCGGACGTAAAAGGTGTAGGTAGAATTCAGAGGGCTACAAAACTGCTATTTCGGATTTTTAGAATTTTAGGATTTGAACACCAAGAAAAAAATAGACTTTTGAATATAAAAACAAAAAATCTATAGTTTTTGAAGTTCGAAAAACCGGAATATATGTTATAGTCCCTATCGCTTTCTATCCACATACCACATTTGAGATCGATACCTCTTTTTACCAAGGTATAGCGAAAAACTGTTCAAAATTTATGACGACAAATTTTCAAACTCAATTTTTAGCAATTCTAGACCTCGTAGCGCAAAACAAAGACCACCATTAGACTCCCCGTGACGAGCTGCATCGAATCAATATACATTTTATGCAAAACTATCGACTTTGAAATTTGACCTTTTTTGACCTGACCTTGACCTGAGCGCCACTAGAAAGTGGCCTAAAGCGTACCTGATGGTCTTGTAACCAACACCATTGAGTTGGAAATGAAAAATTGGCCATAAAACATGCATCGCACAACCTTAGTAAAGTTGGGTTCATAAGCTGACCTTTGGTGACCTGACCTGTGACCTGACCTGGTATTATCAGTGACCTCTAATAGCATCATATGTACTAGGCAACTGACGCCCTATCTCTGATTTTGGACAAAATGCGTTCTACTCGCTGTTATAGTGCATTCCCTAGAAGGCCCGTGAACGGTGAAACATTTTATTATATGACCTGACCTGTGACGTCATTGGTGACCTCAAGGTCAATGAACTTTGGTTTCCTTCGACAAATTTGGCAGGGCTATCGAACGCCGTTTGAATTTTACGGATCCGTCCAGTAGTTTCGGAGATACGGGGGGGGGCAAAAAATGCCCCCCCCCCCCACCGCGCGGAAGGTGGCCGGGAAGCCCAACGCCTACTGGGTTAAGTCATGCTTAACTTAGGGATTCCAATTTCATTGACCTCGGTGTCACCGATGACGTCACAGGTCAGGTCAAAGATAATTCAGGTCAGGTCAAATATTTTGCCGGTCACGGGTCTTCTAGGGAATGCGCTGTAACATCGAGTAAAACTCATTTTATTGAAAATCAGCGATAGTGTATCAGTTACCTAGTACATATGTTGCTATTAGAGGTCACTGATAATACCAGGTCAGGTCACAAGTCAGGTCACCAAGGGTCAGCACATGAACCAAAATTTACTAGGGCTCTGTGATGCATGTTTTATCGCCAATTTTTCATTTCAAACTCAATGGTGTTGGTTATAAGACCATCAGAAACGGTTTAGGTCAATTCCTGGTGGAGGTGAGGTCAATGTCAATTGTCAGGTCAAAAAAGGTCAAAATTCAAAGTTGATGCTTTTGCATGAAATGGATTTTTGATTCGATGTAACTCGTCACGGCGAAACTAATGGTGGCTTTTATTTTGCGCTAAGTGGTCTAGAATTGCTTAAAAAATGAGTTTAGAAATATGACGTCATCAATTTTGAACAGTTTTTCCCTAGAACTTGGCCAAAAAAGTATCAATCTTAAATTGTGTATGGTAATAGAAGTCGGTAAGGGCTATCTCATGTATGTATTCCGTTTTTTTTCGAAAATCGAAAAGCTTTTTGGATTTTTTGGCAATTGCATTCAATTTTTTGGGGTCTAAATTCAAAAAATTCAAAATTTCGAGATGGCAGTTTTGTAGCCCTGGTAATTCTATACCTTTTATTTTCAAACGTTTTCTGTATCTTCAAAGCTATAGACCTGACAGCTCTTTCCGTGAAACCTTTTTTTGTCGAAAACGGCAGAACATACGTCACTCTGACGTCATTTTCGGCCAACCTATCATAGCCTTTGGAAAAGTTTTTGGTCACAATGGGTAAAATTGCTGTTGGGGAAGGTACTGAAAGTTTGGTGACGATCGGCGCAGCGGTTCTGAAGATATGTCGAAAATTCTGGAGGGGGGGGGGGCAAAAATGGCTTCCCCCACCAGGGCACGGGTTAATTAGATAAAAATTTATCAACGAAAAACTTTTGACCTGTTTTAGCGAATTTTTTACATTTATTCCCCCAGCCCTCCAAAATATTGACCTTGAGCAACCAAATTTGCACAGGAGCAAGAACTCCAAGGGGCCACCTACCCACCAAATTTGGTGTTTCTTGGTGTCATAGAAGCCAATCGCGAGGGAGGCGCATCGACCCCTCACCCTGCCAGGCCGCTTTATGAAAAATGCCCTGCCAGGGCGAGGGTAACTCAGGACTCAGGAGTTATTGACTAATAACTTTTATGACCCTAGTGACGTAATAATGGCGTCACGAAAGGTTAGCAATGCAAAAGTGAAGCATCAGAGTGATCAGACTCTACAAGGAGTGCATAAAATCACGATTTATTGTGCTTGAGATGGTTTGAGATCGTTCCCGGCGCCAAAATAGCAGTTTTCATTTTACTCCATTGACTTATAATGGTGAGGTGACGTGAGCGACCTGACCTCATGTGACCTTTAAAAAAATCTAGGTGCACGAGTTTTCAGACCTCTCCTGTTAGTTTCATCTCCCAGTGAAAGCTGCTCTAGCACTGAGGGCGTTGCGAAGTTACGACATCTGAGGACCCTGCAGAGGCTTTTATATCGTCTTAGGTCAGTGATCTGACCTGACCTGAAAATTCAGTTGGTGTCGCAAGCTTTGGCTTGAATCAAAGTTCAGGTATGCGAAGTTTCAGCTCTCTATCGCCGGCGTATTCGGAACTATCACGGAAAACCCTACGGGAGGGTTTTCTCACCTCGCCCCCCTCGGTCGGCGAGGTGTACTGAGGCCGTTGTAAAATTTACGCTTGTCATGCTTTTCCTAATGAATTTGTCTTTCAGAAAATATGCAACATTTAAATCAGTGAATAAACCCAAACGGGGTCTAAACTGACTTTTGCACGGCACCCTACTAAACGGTCCCCAACAGTGTACCAAATTTGAGCGCGATCAACTCAGCCGTTCTCGAGATCTGGAAACGCCCCCTGCACGTGCGCACGTGCAGTAGCACCCTAGCTCCAACACGTGGGAATGCATTGTCTGGCGGGTGCCTACCTGTGAGCCAAGTTTCAGCGAAATCGCCCCAGTAATTACAGAGTTATTGAAATGGGAAGAATTTGGCACCTCTACTTTTGCATTTTGCACGTGCAGTGGGGGTCACTCACATAGATCAAGAGTGTCCGAACTTTGGTACAAGGGATGCAGCTACCCTACAAAAAATTACCGCAAGACAATCGCCCAAGCGGCTGCTGAGATATGAGCCTCTCAAAATCACTACTTTTGCAAAACAGCTTGAACACCCTTGACTTCTCACTTAGCACGTGCCACGACGGTCACTGAGATGTATCAAAAGTAGTCAATTACTTTTTTATTGTTGGGGGTCAAAATTCAAAATTTCAAACATCCGAGATTGCAGTTTTGTACCCCTGTGAATTTTACACCTTTTATGTCTTTATATTTTTTTTTTTGCATCTTCAAAGCTGTAGTCCCGACAGCTCTACTCGCGAAGCTCTTTTTTAGGTCGAAAATGGCAGAACATGACGTCATTCTGACGTCATTTGTGGCCAACCTATCATAGCCTCTGGAAAAACCTTTGGTCACAATGTGTAAAATTGATGCCCGGAGGGGTCCTGAAAGTTTGGTGGCGATGTCTGCAACCGTTTAGGAGATATACACCGAAAAGGACAGGCGGGGCCGTTTCGCCCCCCCCCCCCCTACGGGGCGCGGGTTAATATGGTGCCTGTAAGGGTTCTTTAAAAATGACATTTTCGTAACCTTAGTAAGGTTATGGTTTAATTTCTGCTTGTCATCCCCTTCCTCATGCCAATGCGCTTTTCATATGAGATAAGCAATTTAAAAATCCCGTTCAAATAAAACAAACAGGACCAGCCAATGAAAGTGAGGCCTAATTTTGGATACTTTTACTGAGCCCATTGAATTGCGTACAAATGTGAACTTTGGGCACGTTTTTCATCGCTTTTCTGTGAACACACAGACAAAACAATGCCAAATATGAAAATTTCAGACATTTCCTAATCCAACTGATACAAAAAAAACTATCCAAAGCGAAAAAGGGGTTTTGGAATAAAGTCGCGCTGGAACGTAAAAATCCCCACTGTGCACTGCCGCCATCCCTGGCCCGCTGCCGCCGTCCCCGGCTCCCTGGCCCTATGTGTCGGGCAGTCACAGAGCCCCGTCAGCAGGGCGCCGGCTCCCTGGCCCTATGTGTCGGGCAGTCACAGAGCCCCGTCAGCAGGGCGCCGGCTCCCTGGCCCTATGTGTCTGGCAGTCACAGAGCCCCGTCAGCAGGGCGCCGGCTCCCTGGCCCTCTGTGTCTGGCAGGCACAGAGCCCCGTCAGCAGGGCGCCGGCTCCCTGGCCCTCTGTGTCTGGTAGGCACAGAGCCCCGTCAGCAGGGCGCCGCCACAGGATCTCCTCGGAACGCTCAGTTTTAGTCTATGACAATTGACACACGATACACCCACATGGGTAACACCTTGTAAGACGGTCAATGGAGCGCTCCCGCATAGACACGGCTAATGACACGTGTGAGTCGCTGAGCGGGCGCAGGGCGGGCTCATCGATCGGCCGCTCAGCCGGCGGGCTGTACAACCAGCCGGCGGACCGCGCCGAGAGCGGGCGCGCTGACTGTTCCGAGTGGCTGCCACAGACGCAGCGGCACAGCGCCGCGCTCAGTTGCTCAGTCGTAGACCCAGCAGTGGGGCAGGTTCTCCCTCAGGTAGTCATTGAGCTCGTGCGAGCTGCCGGGGCAGTTGGTCAGCTCGAGCTCCACCAGCTGGCGGAGCTGAACCAGACTGGACAGACCGCTGGGCGACAGCTGCGTACAGCCTGCCGGCAGAGCCAACACGTCACTGGCCCGCCCGCACAGAGCGGTGACGGCACGGACACGCACCGCCCACAACTAATGGGTGGTTTTTGTCAGACTACCATGTCAGACTACCATTGAAATGCAATTCATATGTGCCATCACCCTTGAAGCTGTCAGTGTGCCAGCACATCTCATGTTATATAGGTATGTACATACCAAGTGTTGTGTGCCGCCCGGTGTACTGAATATAGTGACAATTCTCGCCCGGCTCATTGTATGTAGTGCTGACTGCTGTGTGCCGCCCGGCTCACTGTATATAGTGTTGTGTGCCACCCGACTCATTGTACACACAGAAAAATATTGACACCGTTAGCGGTGTAATTGCACAGTACATATCTGAGCACTTGAGGAAAGTTAATTTAGTCCCTTCCCCGCTTAAATTACTCGCGCTTCCAAATGAACACCAGGAAGAAGGTAATAGAACACTGTTAGGAGGGTTGGGTGTTTTACTACATGTAGCAACTACATGTAGCAAAACACCCAACCCTCCTAACAGTGTTCTATTACCTTCTTCCTGGTGTTCATTTGGAAGCGCGAGTAATTTAAGCGGGGAAGGGACTAAATTAACTTTCCTCAAGTGCTCAGATATGTACTGTGCAATTACGCCGCTAACGGTGTTAATATTTTTCTGTGTGTATGTAGTGCTGACTGCTGTGTGCCACCTGGCCCATTGTATGTAGTGTTGACTGCTGTGTGCCACCCGGCTCACTGTATATAGTGTTGTGTGCCGCCCGACTCATTGTATGTAGTGTTGACTGATGTGTGCCGCCCGGCTCATTATATGTAGTGCTGCCTGCTGTGTGCCGCCCGGCTCATTGTATGTAGTGTTGACTGATGTGTGCCGCCCGGCTCATTGTATATAGTGTTGTGTGCCACCCAACTCATTGTATGTAGTGTTGACTGCTGACCGCCTCACTGTCTATGCACTTTATTGTATAGTGTTTTGTACCGCCCGTCTGACTGTGTATATTGAGAGTCGCACTGTATGTAGTGTTGTGTGCTGCCCGGCTCACTGTATGTATAGTGTTGTGTGCTGCCCGGCTCACTGTATATATAGTGTTGTGTGCTGCCCGGCTCACCTGCCAAACTGAGCACCAGCAGGTTTCTCATGGAGCAGAGGTGGTGCAGACCAAAGTCTCTGATCTGCGTGCACCAGCGGAGCGTCAGAGACGTCAGAGACGTCATCGTCGACAAGTAGCCGATGCCGATGTCGGTCACGTGAATGCACCTGCAGTCAAAGCCGGGGGTCACGAGGGTATACCCGCAGTCATCGGGGGTCACGTGGTGATTAGTGTGTGTCATTTTGGACTTTTTTTTGCAAAACATGGTGCTCCACTGACATTATCGTGCCCCAGACACGTAGAAACCGTGTGGCATATTTTAATTTCCCCCAAACCTTAACACCCAGTCGGCAAATGAACCCAATTTTACTAGGGCTGTGCGATGCATGTTTTAGGGCTAATTTTTTCATTTCAACTCAATGGTGTTGGTTATAAGACCATCAGGAACGGTTTAGCTCACTTCCTGGTGGAGGTCAGGTCAATGTCAGGTCAAAAAAGGTCAAATTTCAAAAATGATATTTTTGTATAAAACGGGTATTGATTCGATACAACTCGTCACGGCGAGTCTAATGGTAATCTTTGTTTTGCGCTATAAGGTCTAGAATGGCTAAAAACCGAGTTTGAAAATTTGACGGCATCAATTTTTGAACATTTTTTTCACTATAACTTGGCCAAAAAAGAGGTATCGATCTAAAATTTGGTATGTGAATAGAAGTCGGTAGGGGCTATCACATACATATATTCCGGATTTTTCGAAACTCGAAAAACTTTTTGGATTTTTTAACTATTGTTACAAAAATAAATATTTTTTGATTTTTTGGGGTCAAAATTCAAAAGTTTAAAAATTTAGAGATAGCAGTTTAGTAGCCCTGGTAATTCTACACCTTTTATATCAAGACGTTTTTTTCTGTATCATCAAAGCTATAGGCCTGATAGCTCTTCCCGCGAAACTTTTTTTTTGGGTCGAAAACGGCAGAACATGACTTCACTCTGACGTCATTTGCGGCCAACCTATCATAGCCTTTGGAAAAAATTTGGTCACAATGTGTAAAACTGATGCCCGGGAGGGTACTGAAAGTTTGGTGACGATCGGCGCCGCGGTTCTGGAGATATATCGAAAAGTCTGGGGGGGGGCAAAAAATAGCGCCCCCCCCCACCAGGGCGCGGGTTAAGACAAAAGTTATTGTTGAGTAATAAGAGACAAATGTATATGTTACGGGTCATATGCTAACTTGGGCAGTATGCAAACTGCCCGGGCAGTATGCATACTACCCAACAGCCCGGGCAGTATGCATACCGCCCGGGTAGTATGCATACTACCCGACCCCTTGGGCAGTATGCATACCGCCCGGGCAGTATGCATACCTCCCGGGTAGTATGCATACCACCCACCTTTCTTCTCACGGGCAAGATGTTTACTCGGGCAGTATGTTGACTACACTTCGTGAGGCTTGTTAACCCGCGCCCCACTGGGGGGGGGGGGGCTATTTATAGCCCCCCTCCCGTTTTTCGGCAATAACTTCCAAACCGCTTGACGGATCGACGCCAAACTTTCAGTACCTTCGGCTGCATCAATTTGACACCTTGTGTCAAAATTTGAACTTCGTAGCTACCATAGGTCGGCCGGGAATGACGTCAGAGTGACGTCATGTTCGTCCGATTTCGACGCAAAACATTGAACCACGGCAATCGCCCCCAAGAGCTCAGTTTTTAAGCTAGATCCAATTTCTTTGCATGAAAGAACTCAGAATTGACCGCGCTATCAAACTGCTATCTCAGATTTTCAAAATTTTGAAAATTTTGAAAATTTTATATAATAATATTCAAAATTTATATTTTTATATTTTTTTCAAAAAGTTTTTGACTTTTCGAAAAAACCGGAATATATGTGACAGAACGCATGATTATGACTAACTCTAGCAAGTTTTAGCTAAATATCTTCAAAAATGGCCAAGTTATACGCATTATTGCAAAAATTTACAATTATTAATTTTTCAAATCAATTTTTCAGTACGTATTTGGCATCGTACACCAATATAAATGGCACTATCGTGTTCCTGAGCTCAAACTGCATCCAATAGACACCTTTTTTGTTGAAAAATTTCAACTTCAAAATTTGCCCTTTTTTGACCTGAAGGTGACCTGACCTAAGCTAAATTCGACTCAAAATGACCTCGAATGACATAGACGACATCAAATTCGAAATCTATGGCCTAAATGGACCATAAAACATGTGTCACGTGACCGACGCATGATATAATATTTTCGTGACCTGTGATGACCTGACCCTGACCTGAAAATCAAAGTACAAGTTTTGTACCGTCAAGGTATCTAGAGCATCTGTTCACGAGTGTGGAAACAAAAAATGAGCCTGATCTGACTTGTAAGACGGCGGCCAGAGCCCAAAATGTGAACAAGCCAAAGTGCTAATAATTTTTACTTTGACCTGACCTGTGACGTCATCAGTGACCTCGAGGTCAATGAAATTAGGTTTCGCTCGACAGTTTTTCCGGGGCTATCAGAAGCCGTTTGAATTTTGACGATCGGCCCAGTAGTTTCGGAGTTAGGAGGGGAGGCTATGAATAGCCCCCCCCCCCCCCCAGTAGGGCGTGTTATACACAGACCCCAGTGGGGCGCGGGTTAATGCAATAACTCGCGTATATATGTGAATGACAAACGTTTTAACCTTCCGGGTGGTGGGGGGGGGGGGCATTTTTTGTCCCCCCTTAGTTTTTTTCGATAAATCTCCAGAATTTCGCTGCGCCGATTGCCTCCAAACTTTCAGTACCCTCCCGGGATCGTAGCTATTACACATTGTGACCAAAAATTTTCCAAAGGCTATGATAGGTTGCCCGCTAATGACGTCGGAGTGACGTCATTTCTGCCATTTTCGACCCAAAAAAGGTTTCGCGGGAAGAGCTGTCAGGCTTACAGCTTTATAGATACAGAAAATGTTTAAGAATAGGTATAAAAGGTGTCGAATTAGAGGGCTACAAAACTGCTATTCGGATTTTTTTAATTTTTAGATTTTGACCCCCCCCCCCCAAATCAAAAAAGTAATTTTTTGAATATAATAGGCAAAAAATCCAAAAGTTTTTTTTTGAATTTCGAAAAAAAAACGGAAAATATGTGATAGTCCCTACCGGCTTCTATCCACATACCAAATTTGAGATTGATTCCTCTTTTTTGGCAAAGTTATAGCGAAAAAAGAACTGTTCAAAATTGATGACGTCAAATTTTGTCGTCGTCGTTTCATTTTACTCAGTTCACGCTTCACAATGACAATGACTTGTTGGCCACTGGTTATTCAACAATGGATTTGGGAAAAAGTAATTTCAACACTTTATTCCAATCATCATTCCATCCTACGATCGATCAATCACGTTTGACGACAAAAATTATTCTCGGTCAATCTATTGTTATCTACAGAGCCATTTATATTCTTAATGTGGACATGGATTACACAACTTTAAATCGGAAAGCGGGCAGTATGCAAACTGCCCAAGCTTTTGGGCGGTATGCATACTGCCCAAGGGGTCGGGTAGTATGCATACTACCCGGGCGGTATGCATACTGCCCGGGCTGTTGGGTAGTATGCATACTGCCCGGGTAGTTTGCATACTGCCCAAGTTAGCATATGACCCGTAACATATATATTGAGACTGACACAACACAATCGGATGGACGCGTTTCGTCAAGAGACTTCTTCAACACCCCTTCAGAAATGGAAGCAATACAAGCACACACAAGAATAAAACTTGCACAGCAGTTTAACCCTCGCCCCGTTGGGGGGGGGGAGCATTTTGGCCCCCCCTGTATTTTTCCTGAATAGCTAGAATTTGGCGGCACGCAGCACCGCCAAATTTTCAGTACCTTCCCGGGCATCAATTTGGCACCTTCACACCAAATTTCAAGTCTTAGGTCGTCTTAGGTCAGGAGTTATTGAGGTTAAACTGAGGTCATGTTCGAGCAAAAATGAGCAAAAAACATGCAATCTTGAAACGCTCACCAAATCTACAGTTATCACGCAATTGCAAAGTTCTTTATATGGTCTAGTAGAAAAAAAGCGGCGCTACAAAACCGCTATCTCTGATTTTCAAAATTTTGGCTGTTTGACCCCAAAAAATTCAAAAATTGATTGTTTTAGAAAAACTAAAAAAATCCAAAATTTCGAAAAAAAAACTGAATATATGTGATAGTCCCTGCGCTCTTCTATATACATACCAAATTTCAGATCGACATCTCGTTTTTTGGCCAAGTTATAGCGAAAAAAAATGTTCAAAAATGATGACGTCAAATTTTTGAACTCAATTTTTTGCGATTCTAGACCACGTACGGCAAAACAAAGAACACCATTGAACTCCCCGTGACGAGCTGCATCTATTCGATACCCATTTTATGCAAAAATATTAACTTTGAAATTTGACCTGACCTTGACGTGACCTTGACGTGACCTTGACCAAAAGGTGACCTAAGTTGGCCCCAAAGGCTGCCTGACCCACATAATCGCATTTGTCATGTAAAATGGACCATAAAACATGTATCACACGACACTTTCATATTGTGACCCCCCCCCGTGACCTGACCTCTGTGACCTGACCTGGTATCAGTGACCTCAAATAGCAAAATATGTGTTTGAAGAACATTTCCCCATCGATGATTTTCAATGAAATGCATTTTACTCGATTTTACAACGCGTTTCTTGAAATGCCTGTAAACGGTGAAAATCCGTTCCTTTGACCTGACCTGTGACGTCATCGGTTTGACCTAGGTCAATAAAATTGGGTCACAAGGTAGTTCCCTGATAGGGCTATCCAACACCGTTTGCCGCTTGTTGCTAGGTTGCGTGGTTCTCGAGATCTTAGGGGGGGGGGGGGCCAAAATCGCCCTCCCCCAACAGGGCGCGTTGTTCGGCAGAGCCCAACGGGGCGCGGGTTAACACACCGTTGATGAAATATAACCTGGTAACAAATAAGAATGCGCATAGCTATAAATAATGACCTCCGATAAACATTGCTAGTCGGTATACATACAGCTACAGGTGCATAATAATCATAATCCTGCGCGACTATTAAACAAAATCATTGCACACGCTATGACATGACGATTGACGGTGTATTGTATAGTCGTTCCTATCATTTTTGACCTTTTATACTGAATACTGCTGGCGATTTTGCCCACTTAA